TAGACAGTCGGAGTGGCCAGATACCATTTGTCTGACCGGGCAAAAAAAAAAAAAAGTAAAAAATTAAAAATTATTTTTTATTTTTTTAGGCTACCGGAATGACCCAGATACCATTTGTGCGACAGTGCCAAAAACAAAAATCAAAGATAAAAAATTTATATGTCACACTTTAAGAAAAAAAAAATTAACTTATCTTTTTGCATAACATAGTTCCCCCCTCCCCCCCCCCGGACCTTCCCTTGTCTTTGCATGGTCGGACCGTTCGGGAAAACAAAGTGAACCAATGTCGAGGCTGCTATCCTTGTTAATTTTATTTTTTGTTTTAATTTTTGTGAAGAATTTCAATGTGACCCTGAGGCAAAATTTGTTCAATTTTTTCTTTGCATAACATAGTGTTTTTTTCAGTTTTTATTATTTTGCTAAGATCTTTCTTCGTCCTTTCACGGTCGGGGTGCCGGAGACAACAGGGTAACATGGGTAGCTCGGCTGGTAGCCTAAGAAAAACTTTTATTTGTAAAAAAAAAATAGTGGATATAATTTACTGCTTTCAATTTTTATTATATATAATTATAAGGTTCTTTACCACTTTGAAATTTTCTAAAACGTGAGAGTGATCATGTTTGGTTCAAATAACTAAATGAAGAGAAAAACGAAAATGAGCAAGGTTCAAACGAATTGTTATATTTGGCTACGTTTGATAGATATGACTTTTAGGTTTCTATTCCATAAATGTTTAGTATCAGTTGAGTGTACATTGGATTTGAGGTGCCATCATTTACTACTAGTGTAGTGTAGATTTGATTGATGGTGACAACTCTTGTGGGGATCGGTATCACAAACGGAATAAAAGTTAGATTTTTTTTTTTTATTCAATTCATCACCACATCTTTATTTCACTTTTGTGGTATAGTTTTAGTTTGTTTTTTTTCTTATTTAAATAGGGGGCTACCACGTGCCTCAGGGTTATGAAATGAAAAAAAATGAAAGTGATATCCGACCGGAAGGGAGGAGTAAGGTTTGAGGTTTAGTATTGGTTTGAGAGGAGAGAGAGAAAATCATGCATCATATTTCTATTATAAGACAATGAAAAGAATAAAAAAATTGTCGTGATGGTCAGCTAAGGGAATGAGAAGGCAAAAAGGGGGAGAGTGTGTTGTTTGATAATACAGGTTGTCATATTATATAAAAGAGAGGAATCAAACATAATGTTTTTCCATCATGTAGTAGCAGAGGGAAGGAAAGGGAACTGGTACAGAGTAGCTGAGGAAAAATTAAAATAAGGTTATAAAATAATTTTCCCATTATGGAATAACAAAAGGGTAAGGGGAGAGGAGTGGTGAGTTTCGATAAAGTTTTGTTTCATAACCTAAGTGACGTGATATAAAACCGTTTCCTCCATTTTGGGTAAAAAAAAAAAAAAAAACGAAAGAGAAGAAAAACGGTAGAACAGATTTTGAAAAGGTTCGAGAAAACAATTATTATACTTTATGATAATTATGTGAAGGATAAGGGGAACAATATAATACAGTTTCCTTATTATGGGCTACGAAGGTGAAAGCGGTGTACGAATTATCACATTGATAAATTATAGTAATCGTTAATTATATTTTTTTATCTGTGATATTATACTCTCTGTAATGTGTAAATGGTTTATAGTTTACCGTGAAAATTTTTATACCTTAGTTAAGCTTCATAGCGTAAATGAGCTCAAAATAATATAATTTTTATACTTAAGCTTTAAACAATTTTCATTTTTATGCTCTCGATAATCGATCCCCGTCTTAATGCAATTTTATGTCATTGCTCATAATTACATCATATATCGTTATCCGCTTTACAATTGTTACTTATCCTTATCCTAAAACTCGCTTTATTCCCATAATGGTACTATGCTTTGCTTCCTAACTCTTGAAATTGATATTTGCACTCACTCTTTTTATGCCAAAAAACTTCAGTATTGCTTAATATCATACATTAATATTTGTACAATATTTTTATATATTATTTATATTCTTTTTATTTCCCTTGAGAAAGTTCGATACCACAACTTGCCTATTTTTCTCTCCAATTAAATAAAATTTATTGAAGTAATATATTTTATGATTATCATATTTTTGACTTTATTCAATACTATATATTTTTTTAAAAATGTATACTCATGTATTTCTTTTCATCATAAAAATGAGTTTCGCTCCCTTAAATGACCGATTCATTTTTTTGCCGAAAAAAATAATTTGTTATAATATTTATTTTTTTCATCTAAAAATCTAGGCTACCAGAGTGGTCTGGGGTCACTTATCCGGCCGGGCCAATATATGTTATGCAGAAGAATAAACTAAACAACATTTGCCTGAACGTTACATTCAAATTCTTTACGAAATTTGAAATAAAAATCAAATATGAAATATAAAWAATAATAATGAAAAAAAAAAAAACGATAATGAAATTATTCAGTGGGTGAGCACGTTTTTTACAATCTCATCTTTAACGATTTTTTTTTTTTGGGCTTTGAAAAATATCGTGAAAATTTACATATGTATCTTACATAATAGAGAACCTATAAATAAGGTTTGAATTTTTTTTTTTTTTTTTCATACCCCGAAATAAAGGGAAAACAAAAAGTGGAAAAATACAAAAAACAATTAGTGAGTGGGCAAGCATGTTTTGATACCACCATCTTTGTCGATTTTTAATTATTTATTGGCCAGAAAAAACAAATTAGTGAGTGGGCAAGCATGTTTTGATACCACCACGAACAAAAATATGAGCGAATTAACATTAACGATTTTTCACACTCATAATTGTACCAGAAAAATTATGAAAATTTATAGGCAAATAAATATGGTATTTGATGAATTAAAAAAAAATATTAGAAAATTAGTTGCAAGTTAAATCTTGATGACAAATGCTAGTAACATTTTACATTTTTTCGCTTCTTACTAGTACATGCAGATGCAAAACAATTATGTATTCTTTACATAAAAGTAGTCTGACTTTTAAAGCAGTAGGGGTACATGCATGTTAGTCTCATTTACTGTGCGATTCAATGCTCTCTCTTACACCGACTTCCTAAATGATGTGAGGATCTCTCAATGACGCCATGCAAGGGATCAATTAAATCTGGAGTGCATGTCGAAGGAAACTGGTTTAATTAGGCACACAACCTTACTTCCCGCCCATGCCTATGATAAGATAAGACTCAATCAGGAGAACCTTCAACCTAACCCTAAGGGTTTGTCATGCCCTTGGGGGAGCATATCCCTTTAGAGACTTGGATTGCATAGTGCAACTTGAAGGGAGTGACATGATTGACGATGTGCGATTTCCAATGCAACTGTGTCAATGCTTGAAGAATGTAGCATGCATTTGCGCTTGCGAGAAAGAGAAATAAAAGCTCCCTCTTTGTCTCTTTCTTTCTCTCTCTCACACACACACATTGGAGCATGTATACTTGAGTGTGAGTATGTGTAAAAGAGAGAGTTCTCCTATTTCTTGCTCTCAAAACCACAATTACAGTTGATTGATTGATTGTGTGTGTGTGTGTGCGTGTGTGTGTGTGTGTGTGTGTGTGTGTATGTGTGTGTGTGTGTGTGTACGTGTGTGTGTATGCGTGTGTGTGTATGTGTGTGTGTATGTGTGTGTGTGTGTGTGTGTGTGTGTGTGTGTGTGTGAGTGTGAGAGAGAGAGAGAGAGAGAGAGAGAGAGAGAGAGAGAGAGAGAGAGAGAGAGAGAGAGAGAGAGAAGGTGATTGCTACTGCTGACTAAATGGCTTTAAACTGCCAGTCTCTTTCTCATATATCGGCCGCGGGCGCTGCGCGCCAAACACGATCGATGGATCTGATCGGCGCGGGAGGCCGAATCGGGCCTCCATGTTAACCTCCGAGCCCCAGATCCCAAGCGGGGAAAGGTACTGGTGGGCACAACGTTGCTCTTCCACCAGTATTCAAAAAATATGTTAACAAAAGTTTCATGTTCCTGCCTATTAGGATTGGAGGCATTGGAACCACAACACTGCACATTGTCGAGTGGAAGGATTGATTGTCCACCACCTTCTTGACTGAACCGACGATAGATGCAAAGCTATTTGCTGAGGGAGAACATGAAACAAACATTGAAGCCCTACTTGCCCCATTCTGACGGGCACCGGATCGGACTATCACCCTAATGTATCCTTCCCATCAGCCAAGCTAGCAACATCATATTGTTGTGCTGTCCTGTGCCATGCTATTCTGCAGAGCACAGCACCTTGCCCTTGGGGTTAGCCAGTCCAGTCCTGTCCCTTCAACTGGACGGGCTATTGCAGTCTTGACCATTCACCCTGAGACGGGCTATTGCTGTCTTGACCATTCATCCTGAGATGTCCTTGAACCGAGATCTGCAGAGCCGACCCCTTACGCTCTGAAACCCCTGCTCGAGACTTCCTGGGGTCGACAGGAAAGGGTGCCGTTTTCCCTGGGCGGGGTGCCCCCCCCCCCCTCCCCTCTTTCTCGCCCAGTTATAACCGAGAGCTGTTCCGCGGGTGGTGCAAGTGGAATGGGAGGGCCTGAGCCCCGACCGTTCGGCGAAGCGAGGGCGAAGCCAGGGCGATCGGGACCCTCTTCATCGACGGCTGGAGAAGAGTCCCAGATGTCTGAACGGGCTAAATGTTTTTTTTGTTACTACAGTTTGTTTTGGTGCTCCCGGTCCCTGGGCTCAGCGCGTGATAGGTACGGCGCGAGATAGGGGAGAGGCTCGGGAAGGGAAGGGTGGGGGGTGGGCCAGCGACGCAGCGGCGCGGAGCTGGCGAAGGGGGACGCGCGGAAGGATGGGGACCTAGTAGGGCGCGGTTCGGGCACTGCGCGCCGGTTAATGCGGGGGTGCCCGGAGGGGAGGGTGGGTGAAGTGGCAGCGGGGGACAGGAGGCAGTAGCAGTGAAGTGTGGAGGGAGGCAGCAGATGAGGGGTGAGGAGGAGCTGGATACTTAGCCGCAAAACCGAAAACGAAGTATGCGTGCGTGGGGGCAGCGTGTGTACCGCCACGGCAGCCAACACACCAGCTCGAGAGACTAAGTGTCTGGCCCTCCTGACCCCTCACTCTTCGTGTGCGGCTGTACACGTGTCGCGCATCTACAGCTTGCAAGAGCTGGTCGCATCCGTGTGCTCTCGGTGAAAAGTCCTCTCGCCGTCGTCATCACCCTTCACCCTCTCGCCGTCATCATGGCTGTAATAAAGCCGCTATCTTTCTGCTGCAGGCATGCTCCACTCTAAGATCAGGTGCGTGTACGTGAGAAACCGGCGTAGCCACTGAGCCCACGTCTTCAGTCGCTACTGCCCCCGTGTATGCACTTAACCTTAATTGCCCATATGTTTCTGTGGATATGCGTGGGTTATGCGTGTTCGTGGTTGTGCGCGCGCTTGTGGGGCGTGTGTGTGTGTGTGCGCACGTGTGTATCGGATGTGTGTGCACCCATGAGATTGCGCCGGCGCGTGTGCCGTGTTTTATCCGCGTGTGTGTGTGCGTGCGTGTGTGTGTGTGTGTGTGTGTGTGTG